AAAATTTGATTGAACTAAATAAACGTTTGGTTTATGCAACCAAATGTTTGGTTAACTGTATATCAATGCATTTATTTTGTTGATTTAACCAAAATTTGGTTGCTTCAAATTTTTTTTCTGAGTGCAGCGAGTGATAAATTCAAAAGAATAAAAATTATAATTGTTATTATTATTATTATTGTTATTATTATGTTAATAACGACAAGAAAATATGAAGGAATTTTCAAATATACTGTTTAGAAAAAATTATGGTTAAAGTATTATACAAGAATTATTTTTCGAAAAAAAAAAATTTCATACTTTTATGAAAATTAGACAAAGTGCATTATCGTCTTTTGTGCTGTTAACCACTGAATGTTACGTTTCATTTTCTACCAGACGTTTTGTGGTCAGACATAAAACATATGGATGAATACAAATTATCTATAAAATTGTTGGGCATGTGAAAAGACATTAAACTGTGACTCTTTCTCCCCTGGAAGGAGAGAAAAAAAAAAAATATATATATATATATATATACAAAGATGAAGCATAAAAACCACCGGAACATTTTGTGCGCTCGAAATATTGTCAATATTTTGGCCCCAAGTTTATTTTTATGTTCTCTATAATACATTTTAAAGAATATTGTATATGCAGGGGAAAATTGTATAATTCCATTTCTGATATAAAATTTAAAAATAAATATTTTTTTTTTTCGTTAACTATAATTTAAATTTTTGTTGCAATCAGAAAAATATATTTGAAACAACGAATAAATTTTGTTTGAATCAACAAAATAAATGCATTGTTGTATACAGTTAAGCAAACTTTTTTTTATTAGATCAACTAAATGTTTATTTGATTCTTTCTTGATTAGAAAAAATTTATTTAAAAAAAACCAAACGTTTAGTTAGATCCAATAAATACTTTTTTCAAAATTTTTGTTTTAACCAAAAAAAATTGTATTAATACAGAAAAATATATTTGATTCAAATGAACGGTTACTTTATTGTCAAATACATACTTGAACCAAATAAATATTTAATTGAATCAAATAATTTTTATTTAAATTAAATAAATTGTATTTGAACCAATATTTTTTGTAATTTAAACAAATAACAATTTAATTAACTCAAAAATTGTTTGGTTCAACACTCAGAGAAATGATTTATTTGAACCAAATACTCGTAAAATATATTTGAGTTAAATAAACGTATATTTGTCTCAGAGCCTACTAACTTATTTATTTGGCGTAAATAAAAGTTTTATTTGTCAGAAATAAATTTTTTTTTGCCACAAATAAATTTTTTATTTCAATGAAATAAAATATATTTGCAACAAATAAATGAGTTAGTAGGCTCGGAGACAAATATACAATTTCTCTGAGTGAAGGAAATATTTATTTGCTAATATTCAAGTAAACAATTATTTGAATCAAATAAAATTTTTTTTAGTGTGCTTGTTAAATAAATAAATATTATTTATTAAATATTACCAGTATTAACAATGATTAAAACAGTAATTTTCCTCTCAGATTATTTTTTCTCTTTATTAAAAAAAAATTTTCTAGTAATTTTTTTTTTTTTTTTATATTAAATCGCCTAAAATTTTTGCTAATTTCAAATCGTATATGCAAGCACACGGTTTGCAAAGATGAGCAAACGATGCAACGAGAAAAAGATTAGCCCCCCCCCCACCACACCACCCGGAGAGAGAATGGGGAAAAAAAGAGACGGCAATAAATGACAGGAAGCTTAGAAAATAAAGAGAGACGAATACAGAAAATATAAAAGACAAAATAAGTGGAAGAAGGAGAGAAATAAAAATTTTTTAAAAATGAGAGAGCAAGAGAGAGAGAGAATCTTGCGAATTTTTGTATTGTGTAAACGCCAGGGGCGAGAGAGCTCAGTCAAAACTAGTTCTGTCATCGTAACAGTTCTTCTCATTCTCTCTCTCTCTTTTTTTATCTTCTCTCTTTACCTCCTCTCTTTTTTTTTCTTTCTCGTCAGGTCTTCCATTCGCTTTACATTTGAAACATATCGGCTTGTATGGAAATTAGCGTTTTAGACATGCATCCGCGGATCACAAAACGTCAGTTCATAAACTGACCGGCGTTTAAGATCCCGACATTATTAAAACCTGCCAAAACACTTCTCACCCTCCCCCCATCATTCTTTTTTTTTTTTTTCTTTCTTTTTTATCCACCCATTATCCTAATACTCGCACTCTTTTCTTTATAAATGTAGCGAAAAAAGAGTGACGAGGGGGGAGGGAGGGAGGGAGGGTTTTTGTATCATTTTCAGTGTATCTTTATCTTTATATAAAAATCTCGAAAATCTTGAAGATCCACTTGAAAAAAAAGGGAGCATAGATATATATTTAGAAGTTTATTTTTTCGCAAGGGTTTTGATGAAAAAAAAAAAATTTTTTTTTTTTGAAATCGTGAAAAAGACGCGTGAGAACTGAAAAAAATTTATTTAATTCAAATAATCGATTGATAAAATAAATATTTGAACCAAATAATTTTTGAAGTCAATTTTTTTTTGTACAGAAATTATTGATACACTTTATTTGAATCAAATAAAAAAATATTTGATGCAAGTAAAAATTATATATTAAATGAATATTTATTTGATAATAGCTAACCGATTATTTACACAGAAAATTAAAAGGCATTAAAATAAGAAGCTTATTTTAATGCCTTTTAATTTTCTGTATTGAAACAGATAAATTCATTTTCTTTGTATTAATATAAAAAATGCGTGAAAATAATAAAATAATTTTTTTTTTGATAATTTATTAATTAGTATTTTTATATTAAGAGGTAAATATATTCATATAAATGCAATTTTTACCTAATTATAAAAATTAATGAACGTTATATATATATTTATAGTTGAAGATGCTATTAATTGATTAAATGAATCCACATGTGTTTTTTTTTTCAAGATTCGGGAGCAACGAACTATTTTCCGATTGTTTGATTAGAACTGATAAGATTGTTCACGTGTGTATTTTCTGAAGAATATAGTAAAGAGTGGAAATTTTCCAATGAAATTGATAAAAAAAAAAAAATAAACTAACAATTTTTTTATGGAAAGGCTACAAAATTTTTCTGCCTTACAATATAAAACACAGCAAAAAAAAAAGTGTCTTACTTTAAGATAAACTTGAACTGAAACTATAGTTAGGCTAAATAATAACTGAATTAAAGATTCAAAATTATTTTCATACAAAAAGAAAAAAATTTTTTACATATTTTATGTCGAAAAATTGAATTGTATTTTTAAGACAAAAATTGGACTGATTTTAAGGTAAAATTATTAACTTGTTTTAGGTTAAAATTTTTGACTTTAAGATAAAAATGCGTGTCTGATTTTAAGCCAAAAGTGGACTGATTTTAAGACAAAAGTTGAACTGATTTCTAGATAGAATTTGGAATGCTTTTAAGAAATAATTAATAACTTATTGTGAGGTAAAATTTCGACTGAATTTAAGTAAAAAAAAAACCGTTACTGATTTTAAGATAAAAATGGACTGACTTTAAGACAAAGGCTGAACTGATTTTAAGACAGAGATTTGAAAGATTTTGAGAAAAAAATATCAACTTAATTTTTAAAAAAATTTTAACCTAATCTAAGTAGAAAACCATAACTGATTTTAAGACGAAAATTTGACTGATGTTAAGACAAAAAAGTCGACTGATTTTAAGACAAAAGTTGAACTGATTTCTAGGTAGAAGTTGGAATGCTTTTAAGAAATAATTAATAACTTATTGTAAGGTAAAATTTTGACTAAATTTAAGTAAAAAAACCGTTACTGATTTTAAGATAAAAGTGGACTGACTTTAAGACAAAAACTGAACTGATTTTAAGACAGACATTTGAAAGATTTTAAGAAAAAAATATCAATTTAATTTTTGAAAAAATTTTAACCTAATCTAAGTAGAAAACCATAACTGATTTTAAGACAAAAATTTGACTGATGTTAAGACAAAAAATTGGACTGATTTTAAGACAAAAGTTGAACTGACTTTAAGACAAAAATCCATCATAACTAGAACTATTTTTAAAAATTTAGCTCTACCAAAAAAAATACTGAAAAAAAATGAAAAAAAATTTCAGTACTTTTTTTAAAATAAAAAATAATAATTACGTAAAATAATAATGATAATTGTATTATGAGATGTCCTTTAAGAGGAAAATAAAAGACATAAAGTGAGGGAGGTGGAGAGAAGTAAAAGAGACGAAACGAAGAGGTTGGACAATAACAGATTGCAGTTGTGGCACGAGCGAGCAGCTTTGGTTCGAGTCAGGAGAGACCGGGTCGAAAGAAGAGGGCAGGTGCCACTTTTTTCTCGAATCGCAATAACTTCAAAAAGAACAAAAGGAGGAGGAAAGATAACAAAAAAAAAAAAAAAAAAAGAAAAAAAGAAGGAAAAAAATTGCAAAACAAAAAATACTCATTGCCACTTGTGCGTGCAGCTTCCACGCTTTTTAAGTATATACATTGTAAAAAATAAAAAGCGTCACATTCATTTAATTTTTTTTTATCTCTATATTCTTCAATATTCCCTAACTTAATAATAATATGCTAATCAAGTTAGGAGAATTTTTTTACATCTATTGTTCGAAAGATGAGAATCTTAAGTAGAACTGTAATTTATTTTCTACGGTTATTTTATATGTGAATGCTAATATATCTATAAATATAAATCAAAGTTCGTTAATTTTTTTAAAAACTCCAGTTTTTAAAAAATTAAATTAATTAAAATTAAAAAAAAAATTAAAAACTTTATTAGTCGAAATAATCAATTAATATTGGTTAATTAATTTGAATTTTCGTTATTAATTTTGTTTCATTAGCTTCAAATTCTATATTATTTTTTTAAAAAAGGTTTCCATTTATTTAAATTATATTCCCGTCACCGAATTTCCAAAAAAAAAGTGACATTCTCACACACACACGCACTGCAAACAAAACTTTTTACGAATTGAAAAATAAAAATATAAACATACCGCTTTTTCACTCCACTGGCCACTGAAGGTTCGACCACAAGTGCGGATCCGAGGTAGGTGTATCCTAAAATAAAAATCATTGCTAATTAATATAAATTATTTATAATTTTTGAACTACAATAATTAAAAATAATTTTTACCACAGGTAAAACAAATAATAATTATAACTAAAATATACATCCTGAGAAATTTTTTAATTGCATTTACTTGAGACAAATAAAATTTATTTAAAATAAAAAATATATTTATCTCTAAGTTTGTTTCAAAAAAATTTTATTTAGCACAAATAAAATTTTACTTAGCGCAAATAAAATTTATTTAAACCAAGTAAAAATTTATTTAGCTCTGAGATAAAAATATATTTTTTCTCTGGGTGTTGGAATTATGTTTATAATTATGTCAAAACCTTAAACATAAAAAAAAATAATTGGTTCCAAATAATCGGTTACTTTACTATTATCAAATAAATATTTACTTGACCCAAATAAATATTTACTTAAACCAAATAAATATTTAATTAAATCAAATAATTTTTTTCTCATGAAATTGTATTTGAATTAATCACAGAAAATTAAAAGGCATTAAAATAAGCTTCAACGCTTATTATTTTAATCCAATTTTGCTTATTTTAATACCAAAATCGATTAAAATAAGCAAAATTGGATTAAAATAATAAGCGTTGCAGCTTATTTTAATGCCTTTTAATTTTCTATGAAAATTTCTGTTCTTGAAACAAATACAATGACTCAAAAATTATTTGGTTAAAGGAAATATTTATTTGCTAATATTCAAATAATCGTTTTATTTGAATCAAATAAATTTTTTTTCAGTGTAACAATCATTGAAAAATAAGAACTTCCTTGTTCAAAAAAAAAAAAAAGATAGAACAGACCAGACTAATAAATAATAACCAGAATTTTTATTTTGCATTGCAGTTTCTAGTTTGTACTAGAACTAAAATCAAAATAAGCAGGTGTGAATATTTGTCATTCATGATACCTATTTCCTATCGCACAAATGGAATTTTAATAACTTTTTTTTTTTTAGGGTGTGGACAATCGTTTGCGGGTTTTGGAATGATTCTCATGGAAAAGCGACCAAGTGCGTTTTTACGCGTACCGGTTTAAAACCAAAAAAAAATTGCTGCTTCCGGGTAGTGTACACATAAAATGTGTACATATATTATATTAGATATTATGGCAAACGGTTTTGCACGTGCTAGACCAAAAAAAAAAAAAAAAAAAAAAAAAAATGCGCTAAACGTGAAATCGTAACGTGCACCATCGTATTCAGTCATATTCTAATCAGGATCAAGAGGTTATGTGAACGTTGAGCAGTGCGCGGTCTCGTACATTCTGGATTTTTTGAGGCCCAATAACGAGCCCTGCTTCCTCCCCTCTCTCTCTCCCTTCCTTCCTTCCATCTTCTTCTTCTTTTTCTTCCATATGAAGATCGCGCAGGCCCCGAACGACTAGTTATCCACGCGTATTTCCTTTCCTTTTCATTCCATACTATGCGCCAGGTGTCTTCTCTCTACCGGTCCTATACCTTCTAATTTCCCATAACCAGTTTCTCTATCCTCCTGCCAACCTCCAAAATTTGTATCTATTTTTTTTTTTTTAAACCACCAGCTATATAATAATGCCATTTTCAAAAAATTCCTTCCAATCAGTTTGCATTTTTTGTTTTTTTAATATTACTTGTTGTGTCAGGAAAAGAAAAGATTTGCAAATACGAAGAAAAATGAAAAAACGAATAAAGTAACTTTTACACTGTAAAAAAATGGAGTTGAATTTTAACTCCCTAGGGGATGCTATAAAAGTCCCACTCTTTTGGAGTTAAAAAGAAGTTGAATTTTAACTCCCTAGGGGATGCTATAAAAGTCCCATACTCTTTTGGAGTTAAAACGAAGGAAGTTAATGCTTTACGAGTTAATTTTATGCCTAGGGATTTAGTATTAAGGTGTTAATTTAATTATTAACTCCCTTTTTGAGTTGATTTTTAACTCGGAAAAATTTAACTCCTAGTGTCATTAACTCCCTAATTTTTTTTGCAGTGTACCACTTTAAAAGTAAAAGCTAAACTGTCCGAAGATTCTGCGGATTTCTTGCAAATTTTTACTCCAGAAATAGTAAAATTTACACCGAAAATAGTACAAATTACTCCGGAACAAGTAAATTTTACTATTTCTGGAGTAAAAATTTGCAAGAAATGCGCAGAATCTTCGGTCAGTTCAGCTTTTACTTTTAAAGATACACTGCAAAAAGAATTAGGGAGTTTATGGCACTAGGAGTTAAATTTTTCGAGTTAAAAATCAACTCAAAAAGGGAGTTAATAATTAAATTAACTCCTTAATACTAAATCCCTAGGCATACAATTAACTCGTAAAGCATTAACTTCCTTCGTTTTAACTCCAAAAGAGTGGGACTTTTATAGCAAATTACCAGAAATGCGCAGAAACTGACGACAGTTCGGGTTTTAATTTTAAAGTATAGTAAAGATTACTTTATTCGTTTTTCAATGTTTTTTCTCTAAATTTGAATCAGTCATATTTCACTGATTAGCAGTAGAAATCTATACTAATTGTCATAGCAAGAATTGAGCAACTGATAATTAGTAGAAATTTACTGATTCAATTAGTAAAATATTAATTACTGATTGAATCAGTAATATAAACATATGGCAGCGGCCGCAAAATCTACTGATTTAACAGTTTTAAAGGTTATGTTATACACAAATTACTGATTTACATAAGTTATTTTCTATTGCTTATATTTTCACTCATTATATTAGTAAATTTCAAAAAATAACTGAAACTTCAGTTAAAATGAAAAGTACTGATTGAATTAGTAAAATTTCTACTTATTCAGATTTAGAGAGTAAAAAGCTACTAAAATGCAATTACTAAACAGTTTAGTAAGGCAACTATTTCAATTAATATACATTTTACTAAGTGAATTAGTAGTTTTCTCCTATTAGTCATTTTAAATTAAAATATTAATTAATTAATACAATAAACAGAAAAAAAATAGTATTGAATCAAGAAAACCTATGTACTTGACCTTATTTTATACCAATATTTTCTTGATCCAATTTTTATTAGTTTGAAGTAAATTTTCTTGGATCAAGAAAATATTGGTATAAAATACGGTCAAGTATACATATAGGTTTTCTTGATTCAATATTATTTATTTTTTCAGTATAGTTATTGAATTTTACTTTTTACAAATTGTTCGCTAATTCATTAAACGAATCGGCGCATTTGAATTAGTCAAACTCAGAATTTAGAAAACAAAAAAGTGATTTTTCAAAAAAATTGAAAACGTAAATGAATCAAAAAAAAAAAGATTCTCGACAAATGGACCTGAGCTATATACACATTTATATATATATAGGAAGTGTACAATGGCGTGTGGCAGAATTGTTCAAGTCCATTAAATACAGCAAAATACTCGCTACAATGAATATTATATACTCCAAAGCAACTGGATGAACTAGCTTTGAAAATTCGAATAAATTAAAAAAGAGAGAAAAATTTGAGTTGGGGGGGGGGTCAAAAGAAGATAGAATCTCCTTCGCCAAACTGGCATAATATCACACGAAAGTGGAAAGATGAAGAGGGGGAAGAGTAAGAAGCAAGAACATATAAAAAAAAAAAGTTTTTTTGAGAGGCCTTAGATGGCTACTTAGTATGTCCTGTATTAAAAATCTCTCTCCCCCCATTGTCCAAACCAGCCTCCTCCCTCTTCTTCATTCCTTTACCATTCTTCATGAATGTTACAATGATGTAAGTGTTTCTACTGTACGAGCATATAAATACAATACATACTTAAATAGATATACACTCATACATACACACATACATATGTATATAAATATTGTATATGTATATTTGTGCAACAGTGGATTTCGGTATAACAGGTTTCATGCAAAAGCCAAAATCGCGACAAGATGCCCACCTCGATATATATGTAAAGGATCGTCGACGAGATCCTAATTCGACTCGTATATCGAGACCATATATATACATATATATGTATAAGAAGTAGTAGGAAAAAAAAAGAAGAAGAATAAGAAGAAGAAACGAGAAATTTTACGCTCGATCTCTTTCGAAGCGCCTGTCCTTAAAAACAGGGGCGCTGTTACGGATGACAGTGATGGGGTGAATGGAACAATTCTCGCAGTTTTAGACAATGTTTCATGTTGTACTAAATCGCCTCCTCAGGTGTAACAATCACTCTAACACACATAAACATACTCGTGTCAAGTTGCCATTCACAATTCTCATTCCACTTTTAGGATGATTCACATTCAAATCATTGTAGACATATTTGTCGAACTGATTCTTCTCGCCTTATTTCTTTTTCTCTTGTTTGTTTTGTTCAAGTGCATCAGTTTATTCAAACTGTTTTGAAAGAATAGGCAAAAAAGAACAACAAGGATCTGTATACTTGCATTTGTCAAAATTGTTCTGTATATATATAAGGCCAGAAAAGAATATTATTCTGAATCTCGTTCTGATTTTTACTCCGATTTTTGGGATCACAGAAAATTAAAAGGCATTAAAATAAGCTGCAACGCTTATTATTTTAATCCAATTTTGCTTATTTCAATACCAAAATGGATTGAAATAAGCAAAATTGGATTAAAATAATAAGCGTTGCAGCTTATTTTAATGCCTTTTAATTTACAGTGATAGTATTTCTAAATTAATAGTATTTTCAAAATCAACTATCAGAATCTGCAAATTGGATTGCAATTTTTGCGGCTGTTGACTTTTATTAGAAGCACTCGCATTTGCCTGGACTTTTGGTCAGGGGATAGAAAAACTACAGAAAAGTATAGTATTCCTAAAAGAAATGGTATTGTAAAAAGATCAACTTTTAGAATTTGTAGCCTAACCTTCAAGAATTAATATTCTACCTTTCAAGAATCAATACAACTTTAAAAGTAAAACCTGAACTGTCCGCAGTTTCTGCGCATTTCTATAACAATTTTTACTCCAGAAATAGTAAAATTTACTTCTGAAACAGTAAAAATTATTCCGGAAATAGTAAATTTTAC